AAAAAAAAAAAAAAAAAATCAAAAAAAAAAAAAAAAAAAAAAGGATCTCCAAAAGAGGATCGATAGGCCCACAGCGGACGGCTCAACATTGATTTAAATATCGTTATAATTGCGAATGAAGAAATGAGAATGTCTCTTTTCATCGAGCATTCGCTTATGACGTCTGCGTGCGTGGATTGAATAGTAAATGATTATTATCAGATTTTAATATCATTTTATCTTATTATTACTAAATTTATAATTAATTAATCAGTTTTATCAGTAGTGAATGTGCGCAGGAAGCGAGCGGTTTCATTGGCTCATTAAATTGTTCCGTTTTAATTTTTTTTAATTCATTTCTTTGAATTCTTTCCTCTTCGGGAGTGCAGTGTATCGCTTGTCAGTTTCTTTTTCTTTTTGCGTCTTTTTATTTTTGTTTTCAGGGCTGTTTCAAACTTTGTAATGATCTGTTTTACAATTTTTTTTTTTTTTTTTTTTTTTTTTTTTTTTTAATACCGGCCCAGTCAGCATCTGCTGGAAACCGGGTCCTTCCTCCCACGATATTATACAGCATTTCAGTGATTTCACAATTTTTTGCAGAATTGCAGAATGACATATGGTCCTGACCTGAGGCTGTACTGGAGGCATTGATTGGTCAGGGTGGGAACCCAAAATATGTACCACCCATGTCCAGCGTGGCAGCGACCCTTTTCATGTTTAATAATAATTTAATATTATTATTTATACAAAATGTACAGAATGGATACATGATCATACAGCTGTCTAGCTCAGTTGGTAAAGCGCACAAGTGGCATTCAGGAGGTCTCGGGTTCAATCCCTATTTTGGCCTCATGTACCCTCCTGGGAAAGCTTGGCCCCCGCCACCTAGAGATAGACCGTTGGTCCCCCATGAGCGGCATTGAGCAGAGGCTCTGCTGATGTTCGTAGGGGGAGGGGACCGGAGGGCAGGCACAGCGACTGGCCCATCGAAGAAGCTCAGTCCTGATGCTACTAGCTCACCCCTGGCCAGTATCGCCCACCTGCCAGGTCGGGTGAACTGGGCCTGGCTGCTACAGGGTTTCCCATATTAATACTTATCAATTTAATAATGGTAATGAAAAACCGCCTGAAAAGCCGGCCTGTCCACATTTGACAGGTAAGTGAATTTTTTGGGCTTAAAAGAATTAGCGTTTTGAAAGAAAAAAATAAAAGTAAAAATAAAAATTTACAGAATTGCTGACGCACATTTACCGACTAGTAACAG